TTAGGGCAACAAACTTGAACAGATATGAGTTCCACTCAAGGCATTTCCAGTAGATAAGAGGATCTGGGAAGCAGAAATTGAAAGCAGTCTGACAGGTGATGGGGACAGCTTAAAACAAGAGATCTCCTGCTGCCTGACTTCTCACAGCTGGAAGCAACTAGCTGGAATATGCTGGGACAGGTATGGGTTGGCATCTTGTGTGGTCAAGGTAAGTTTGCAACCTGACTTAGCCTTTGTTTCCTTATGTATTAGGAAGACAGAGACAAAAAATCCTTTTGCACGGCGAATAACCTGAATCTTGTATACATGAAGTTGTCATGCATTGAGTTATCAATAAATCATAGCTAATTTTTTTGTTTTCTTTTTACAGCTAGTTAGTTGAGGGATCTCCAGATTCATTCAAGTGGCAAGATACCTAGAAGATGCAAGCTACTGTACAATGTTAATGTTTTATTACATCATGTGAACCGGGAAAATTTTTCTTGTCTTTTTTAATATATATAAGAAACAGGGTATTTAGTCTGGCCTTGAACTCCTGGATTCAAGTGTTCCTCCTGCCTCAGCCTTTAAGTTAGACAGGACTATAGACATGCACCACCACCTTGGCTAGGAAGTTTTAGTAGCAAACATGACTGCATTGTTTATAAGCAACATAATACCAGAAAGAAGAACACATCTGTTCGCCAAAACAAAGAGGAAAAAAAAATCATCCAAAATAAGGTATTGCACTAGGTAATGTATCAGAATTTCCCTGTAATTTTGTGCATGTGTGTCTGGTACCAGGAATGGAACCCAGAGCCTTGAGCCTCCAAAGCATATTCTCTACCACCAGCTGCACCCCCAGCCTTTCCTATAATATTTGTTCACTTGACTTACGTCTGGGGTTGGACTACTTGTGGCAATTGTAAGCAGACAAGCAGCATTAGGCAAATGGAGAAAAGCTAATAACACCTTACACTACAGCTGAACAACTAATCCAAAGATTTTCAAACTTTTTTGAAGGCAAGGAAATTCTTTCTTCAAAAAGAATTTATTTTTAAACTCTTGGCACAAGTCCAAGACATTAAAACCAAAAAGCAGAAGCCCCAAAGAGAAAACAGAACAAAGGCTGAGCTGTCCTTCTGTAAGCCCTAGGATCCCCCACCCTTCCCCAGCCCTGGCAGGCATCTCTGAAGACTTCCTGGGCTTACAGGGGCACATTTTGAAAACGTTTAGGTCCAGCCCCCTCTTTCTGCAGAAGAGGAAATTAATGCTCGAGGGAGGGGCCTGAGGGATTCACCGGAAGTTGCACATTCTCTTCCACTCTGACCAAATGTTGGGATGACCCAAATGGTGCTGGTTTCTTCAAAATAACCTATTGGTTTGTATTTTTGAATATGGTTCCCATCATGTTCCACGCTGAAACAAAATTATCTGTTTATGTGAGAGATGACGTATTTAATCCGCACAATGTCTTTAACTATCTTGAATTAGTTGCCAACATTTAAAAGCAGAACATTTTGCCTAAAAAAATGTGGATTTCCAACCTCTTAGGACTTCTAGCAACATGAACTCTCACACTCAAGTTGATAACCAACCCAGAAGCAGAATGAAAGGATGTACTCTTCAGTTGGTCACAGTCCCCACCAGTCCCTAGTGCCTTTCACTTGCTTGTATCCATTCCTGCCTTCTCCCCGTATACATTTGAGTTTGTGACCATGATCTGAAATGGTTATGGTTATAGAAATATTTTGAAGAACTGAACTTGTTGGAACAAAGGTAAATGTAGAATACAGATAGAAAGTAAAATCTAATTTCAAAAATGAGGCAAATGCCATCGTAAGTAATGCAGCTTTCTTGCATTGAATAAGAAGGAAACTTTCAGGATTTCCCAAAGTATTTTTTTCCAAGGTCTTTTATATGAACCATAGGCTACGAGAACTCAAGTCCCAGAATTGCTTGCCTGTTTGCCCCCATTTATATCACTGTCTTCAGGGGAACTCCAAAAACTCTTAGGCCCTCAGGAGATGTATCATTCAAACCAGCCATCAGCCTGTTTCCTGCATCCCAGTACCAGCTCACTCATCACACAAGGATTAGAAAGAACCGGCTGAGAGTCCTGGAAACAACCTCAGGACTGGGCAATGTGGGCACAGCATGAGCAATAGGTGTAATCCTCTCTGTACCCCCAGAATTAAGGGCTGAACCCATGGGTGCTCTACCACTGAGCTACATCCCTGTGATCCTTCTCTGCCTCAGCATTCTGTGTAGCTGGGATTACAGGTGTGTGCCACCATGCTGGACAGTAGTAACTCCCCCACTCTGTCCCATGATATTGGGGATCCAACCCAGAACCTCCCTCATCCAAGGTAAGTACCACTAAGCCAAACCCCCAACAATATTTTAGCATTTTAACCTAAAAATGTATATTGCTAATAGAATTTTGGGGATCATGATCAGCTGATTAAAAAAAAAATTGGAGATACAAAGTACTTACTCCCAAATTATAATGATAGGAGGCTTATTACTCTACCTGAAGGGCCATCGCTATATCACCTCCACTCCTTCAGGACTTAGTTCAAGTGCTACTTTCTCAATGAAGCTTCCCCAATCACTATACATTAAAACTGGGGGCTGGGGATATAGCTCAGTTGGTAGAGTGCTTGCCTTGTATGCACAAGGCCCTGGGATCAATCAATCCCCAGTGCCACAAAAACAAAAAAACTGTGGCCCTCCTCTCTTCACCCCACATTCCTTATTGTATTTACTGCTTTGTTTTCCTTCTTATTACTTAGCACCAGAATATTCTATGTCTTATGTTTTATGTTGTTTAACACTTCTCTTTCTCATCTGGCAGATACTCCATGGGATAAAGATTTATTTTGTTCATCACTACACCCGCCCCCACCATACTAGGAACTGAATCTAGGGGTGCTACCTCCCCAGCCCTTTTTATTGTTTTTACTTTGAGACTGGGTCTCCCTAAATTACCAAGGCTGGCCTCAACCTTGCAATCCTCTTGCCTTAGCCTCCCAAGCAGCTGGGATTACAGGCGTGCACTATCACACCCAGCTCACCACAACATTCTTAGTGCTGCAACAGTTTCTAGCCCACAGTCGGTACTCAATAAAGGTTTGTTAAATAAATGAACTTGTCAGGCCCCCACCCAGGTAACAAGGTGGCAATTATTTCAATTGTTAACAGTCACACACAAAGCAGAACTTCTAGATGGTGACAGTGACTACTTATTTTGAAGCTGGAAGGGTGCTCAGAAGTTTTGATGCTGTCTTTACTTTGTGTGCATATCTTTTGCATGAATACATACATTTAGGAATTTCCTAAATGTTTTCAAGGATGAGACCCAAGGCTACACAGTGAGTTTGTGCAACACGAGAACCCAGGCCTGTGACTTCTCAGGCATTTTTCCTACTCCTCCAAGACTATTCAGCCATTACTAGTTTCTCCAAAACAACCTAATGGCTAAATAAATGAGGCAGAACTTTGGCAAAGGGATCAACTCCCTGAAAATTTTTACCTTCTCAAAGATACCTTTTTTTTCCCCTTCTTTTTGTTTATTTATTGTGATACTGAGGATTGAACCCAGGTCCTCACACTTGTTAGGCAAGTGCTCTCCCACCAAGCTTCATTGCCAGTGCTTCCTTATTTTTTTTTTTTAAATATTTTTATTAGTTGTAGATGGACACAGTATCTTTATTTTATTTATTTGATTTTATGTGGTGCTGAGGGTGGAACCCAGTGCCTCACGTGTGCTAGACTAGATGAGCGTTTTTCCATGGAGCCACAACCCCAGCCCTTCTTCTTTCTTTTTAAAACTCTAAAATAGCAGGGTGTGGTAGCACATGCCTATAACACCAGGGCTCAGGAGGCTGAGGCAGGAGAATCACAAATTGAAGGCCAGCCTCAGCAACTTAGACCCTGAGCAATTTAGGGAGACCCTGTCTCAAAATAAAAAATACAAAAGGGCTGGGGCTATGGCTCAGTGGTTAAGCACCCTTGCGTTCAATCTCCAGTACTTAAAAAAAAAAAAAAAAAAAAAAAACCCAGATAGATAGATGGATGGATAGATGGATAGATAGATAGATAGACAGAACTCTAGAATAGATATAGGGTAGCTTGTCTAGAAAGCAGGATGCTAAATGGGATAACCTTTTTATTTTCCCTCCAAAATGCTGCACTACATCCCCAGTACTGCCCAAAAAAGAAAAAAACCTACACTATAACAGCACCATGAATATAGTGTGGTTTGTGTGTGTTTGTGGCAGTTGCATCATTAACTAGATTATGAGGCTTTCTTCCTTTTCTCTGAGCTAACAAAGATTCCCAGCCCCCACCCCCCACCCCCTCCCCCACCCACCCCCGCCCAAATGTGTGCTGGTAAATGCATGGAATAAGACCTAACTTGAAGAAGCAGAGGACCTTCCTGGCTACTACTTTACTCCATGGTTCTGCTTCCCAGCTGTCCTTTGGGAAATAGCTATTTATCATTATTTTTTGTTGTTGCTTATGTCTTTTTATGATGCTTGAGTTCCCCAAGCAGCACACTTGGGAAACTCTGGTTCATTTCCCAAATACAAGTATCATAAAGGCTGAACTTCTGGTTCAAATGTATTGGCTTGATGCTGTGATCAGAACACAAATAACTGAAGGATCCCAGACCTGTCTGGACTAATGGAGGTGACACATGTGCCATTCCTATTGCACTAAGTGGCTAACATGCTGAGCAGAGATGAGACGTGGGCAAACAGTAGGAAACATACCATTTCTGCACAAGAAAATAACCTACTCAGAAAAGCTTCAATCGCACTTGGAACGAGATAGAGATATCACCAGTGAAAACTTAAGACCCAGAGAACATGTAAAATTAGGTTTCTAACCCCCAGATCAAAGGAGGGTAGCACCCAGACTTCAAGTAATGCCCCTTCTTTGAAGTACTTACTTAGGGAAGTTCAGTCATTTTCTTTCGTTCTTTTTTTTTTTTTGGGGGGGTGGGGGGGTGGGGGAGGAAGTGCTGGGGCTCAAACCCAGAGTCTCATGCATGCTAAGCAGGCATTCTACCTCTGAACTACACCTCCCAGCCCTCATGGATATAGTCTTCAATCCCAGTCTCTATTAAAAATTGAAAACTGGGGCTGGGGTTGTGGCTCAGTGGTAGAGCACTTGCCTAGCACGTGTAAGGCACTGGGTTTGATCCTCAGCACCACATAAAAATAAATAAATGTGTTTTTTAAAAGGTTGCAAACTATCCTATAGAATAACATTCACACAAGGTTATTCATTACAATATGGTTAGTATTAGCTAAAGCTCAGAAACAACTTAAGTGACTAGATTAAGGAACTGGTTAACCAAATGACGGAATCCTCATACAACAGAATACAATAAAATCATTAAAGTAAATAAATGAGAACACTCATGCCTGTAATCCCAGAGGCTCAGGAGGCTGAGGCAGGAGGATTGTGAATTCAAAGCCAGCCTCAGCAATTTAGCCAGGCCTAAGCAACTTAGCAAGACTCTGCCTCAAAATGAAATATGAAAAAGGGCTGGGGATGTGGCTCAGTGGTTAAGTGCCCCTGAGTTCAATCTCTGGTACCAAAACAAAACACTCTTTTGAAATGAATTAGAATGATTTTAAATGAAGAAAAAATCAGGTTGTGGGAAACCATGGAGGAAAAAGCAAGACAAGAATATATAATACAACCATTTTCTTATATACATTATGAAATATCTCTGGAAGAGTATAGGAAAACTGAAATTAGGGGCTGGGGTTGTGGCTCAGTGGTAGAGCACTTTGCCCAGCATGTGTGAGGCACTGGGTTTCATTCTCAACACCACATATAAATAAATAAAATGAAGGTTCATCATCTACTAAAAAATACATTAAAAATAAAAAACTGAAATTATTGGTTACTTCTAGAAAGGGGCACTGTGTAATGGGGGACAGACTTGAGGAGACTCGTGGTTGTATATTCCCTTTTTTTGTTTTGTTTTTGTGACATTAGAGATTGAAACACTGAGCTACAATCCCCAAATCCTTTTATTCATTTATTTATTTTATTTTGCAACAGGGTCTCGCTAAGTTGCTTAGGACCTCACTAAGTTGCTGAGACTGGCCTTGACCTTGCAATCATCCTGCTTCAGCCTTCTGAGTAGATGGAATTACAGGTGCACGCTGTGGTGCCCTTTGAAATTTGAATCAAACAAATAGAATTCCTATTCAAATAAGCAAAAAAGAGAAAAATTATGCACGGCAGGGTGGCATATGCCTGTAATCCTAGTTACTCTGGAGGCTAAAGCAGAGAACCACAAGTTCAAGGACAGCCCAGGAAACTTAATGAGACGCTGTTGTCTCAAAAATAAAAAGGGCTCAGGATGTAGCTCAGTGGTGGAGCATCTCTGGATTCAATCCCCAGTGGTGAGGAATAAATAAACAAATCAATAAATAGGAGAAAAATTACATTGAATGAGATTTTTAAAAATCAGTGAAATCCTTCTTAATCTAGGAGGTATAAAGAAAGGAGCTCATTTTAATTTTCTTGCACCATTTCTATAGATTTGAATTTTTTTCAACACAGGATTAAAGGGGGGCCAAAAGGAAAGAAGAGAAAAAGAAAAGGAATCTCTACTCTTCCAGTGATAGGTTAGGTGTTTCCCGGTTGGGGACTATGGAGAAGGGGAAGGGCCCAAGGTAATTTATTTGCTTCAGACATATACTTATCTCATCCTGACAGCCAAGGGCAGAGAGGACATTTCTTCCTTGTTGCCATTATGAAATGGGCTTGCAGAATTGGCAACATAGTTTCTGACAAGACCTTCAGAACCAGACCCCATACTCTAACTGAAAAGGGTCAACTTCTTATATTAGTTAAGTATGTGGTGGGAAATGTCAAGGTTTACTCTTCTCCTCCACATATTTAGGAAAGGCATAAATGCAGTCAAAGCTTAGATTTTGCCCTGGAGTTCCATCCCCAGCACCAAGATAGGGGTGGTGGGCAAGAGGAAGGAAATTTACACTTTGTAAAAATTTGCTTGGCTGACCCTTGGGAAGAAGATGGGCCTCTTGAGGACTCACAACAAACAAGTATTTCCTCTGTTCAGGGTCAGCAAGTATAAAGTGCAAGGAGGCAGTTTTTAACTCAGGGGCAGGCTAGTGAGAAGGGAGGGATGCAGAGTATCAAGTCCACAGATGTGTGCTTCAGTCCTGACTACCTCCAAGATTGTCACAGCATGGCAATTGTTTTGAGCCCAAATTAGTGTCCTCTGTAAAGCAGGATCACACTAGCTGCCTCTCCTTTGATAACCAAAACATAATAAGGATAAAAAAGCATTGTTAAAACTATAAGACACTAGAGACCAATGGTAGGCTACTATACACAACACAAAATACCTTTTGATAATTGTGAAGTTTTCCAGCAGATGAGCAAATGTGTTCTTTAGGATCAGACAGATCATATCACTCCCCCCATCTGCTGGGTAACCATCCCCTAGCCTCTGTGAGCCTTAGTTTCCTCACTGCAAAATGAGGTTAATGCTACCTGCTTAATAAGATGGCTGTGGGAATTAGGAGTTCGGTGAAATAATCTATGTAAAGTGCTGGTTATGTAAAAAAAAATCACAAGCATGAATTCCCCTTTGGTGTACCTTGAATCAAGCATGCTGTCAACCAAAGGGCACTTCATTGATTTATTCATTCATCACACACAGCAGATAAAATAAGGCCTATTCTTTAAAAATATATATTTATAAAGGGTGTAGAGTGTCAAGACAAGGGTCTCTGGAGGTAGACTGGGTTTGAATCACTGTTCTGCCACTTAATAGCTGAGTGACAGGGAATGTGTGCAAACAACTCTGTGCTTCAGTTTCCACATCCACAAGCACTATGCGAAATGTTGCCTACTAATTATTAGACACTGTACTCAACAACGGGAATAAGGTGGTGAACAAGGCAGGTTTTTTTATTCTTTGTTTTGTTACCAGGGATTGAAACTAGGGATACTTAACACCACTGAGACACATCCCCAGCCCTTTTTATTTTGAGACAGGGTCTGGCTAAATTGTTTAGGGATTAGCTAAACAGGGTTTAGCTGAGGCTGGTCTTGAACTTGTGATCCTCCTACCCAGCTTTGAAATACTGAGATGACAGGCCAATGTGCCATTGTACCCGGCTGAACAAGGCAGTTTTAATCCCTGCCCTTATGAAGCTTAAGAGGCTCCAAAACCACTTATCCTGAATGCAGAGAAATTTAGGCCCAAAGGTGACTCCACCAATTTAGGCACACAACTAGTAAGCAAGAAGGCACTAGTAAAGACCAGGATTAGTGACTGTTCCAGATTATAAACCACTATTTCTCTGATACTCTGACCATTGCAAACCAGTTATCACCCAGATTCAAAACTTCTGGAAATTTAAGAGCCCTAGAAGTATCAAAGTGGATTCTGAAAGTCTGTTGGAATTGGCCCAATAATTCCACACATTCCTGACCTTCTTCTACATCCCATCCCATTGTGTGTGTGTGTGTGTGTGTGTGTGTTTTACTGGGGATTGCATCCAGGGGCCCAGAGGGGCTCTACCAGCTACATCCCCAGACCCCCTCCACTATATTTTGTTTTGTGTTTGGTACCCGGGATTGAAACCAGGGGCGCTTAACCATTGAGCCATATCCCCAGCTCTCTTTTTTTTTCTTTTTAATATTTTATTTACAGACAGGATCTTGTTGAATTGCTTAGAGCCTCACTGAGTTGCTGAGGCTGGCTTTTTTTTGGGGGGGTGAGGGGGGTGCCAGGGATTGAACTCAGTGGCACTCACCCACTGATTCATATCCCCAGCCCTATTTCATATATATATATATATATATATATATATATATATATATATTTTTTTTTTTTTTTTTTTTAACTTAGAGATAGGGTTTCACTGATTTGCTAGTCTGGCTTTGAACTTTCAATCCTCCTGTCTCAGCCTCCCGTGCCACTGGGATTACACGTGTGTGCCACAGTGCCCAGCTCTGCGCCCTCTGCCCCTGTTTTTGTTTTTGTTGATTTTTTGAAAGAGAGCTTCTAGCTAAATTGCTGAGGTTTGCCTTGAAATTGCAATCTTCCTGCCTCAGCCTCCTGAGTCCCTGGGATTACAGGTATTCGCTACCATGCTCAACATAAGGATACTTCCTTATGACATTGTGCTTGCTGGCCTACATGTGGATTTCTGTGCAAATTACAGATTTGCAATTCATGGTAGAGACTACATGAAAATGTCACATCCCCTATGCCACCTGCATTTTCATTTGTGCTTGTGAATCTTAAATGAGAACAAAGCTGGATGTCTTGGTGGAGCTTGAAGGATATACAACACTGGGGACTCTCTTTAGGAAAAGAATGCATAATTGATTTAAAATGAGGTACAAGACCTTGGAAGGGATGCATGCACCTGAAGGGCCCTGAAATTTAAGCATAATTAGTTTCCTAGTAAACCTCTGATTGTCTAATTTCCTTCCTTCTTCCTTTCCATCTATATAACTTCCATCTACCTTCTAGCATCCACTCTGCACTAGGCAGTGACTTCCTAAATTTATATCTTGCTTTGAAAATTGTGCTTAGGCTGAAGGGTGTGACTCGGTGGTAAAGGACTTGCCTCACATGCATGAGACCCTGGAATTATCCCCCAGAACAGCAAAGAGAATGGAACAAATCTAAAAAATCACGCTTTACTCCAATCTGCAGATTTTTATCCAAACTATGACAAACACACAGCTTTTCTTGATACAAAGGACCAAAACAATGTAAGACTAACCTGTGGGTGGTATGTAAATAAACTATGTGGGGCTGCTCCTTAGACAGGGTAGATCATACCATAGCCAGAGGCTACCATTTTCTATGTACCCTGGTAAACACACCGGAGACAGGCTCTACTATGATGCCCACATTCAACAAACAAAATGATCTTCTCAAATTGGGTGTGGGGGGTAGTTTGGGGGGTTAGCCATCTAGACAAGACAATATTATATAGTTATGCATCATTATGTACAATTAATATATTTTATGCACATCATCTGGCTTAATGCAGTCTGATATAAAGGGAGG